CTCCTCCTCCTCCTCCTCCTCCTCTTCCTCCTCTTTCTCCTCCCGCTCCTCGATTTCTTTTTCCTCTTTCTTCTCCCGCTCCTCTTCTTCTTTTTCCTCTTTCTTCTCCCGCTCCTCTTCTTCTTTTTCCTCTTTCTTCTCCCCTCCTCTTCTTACTCCTCCTCCTCATGCAGTATCCAGGCTCCACAGTCTTTTACCTTTCTTTTTTACTTGTGGTTTTTTCCAGTGCTGGATCCACGTTGTCATTGGTGCGGTGGTATGGCAAGTCTACGTCACACGTGGGTTATATCTGTCTTAGCACTGGCCTGTACAGTTGCCATCGGTGAGTTATTCTATTGTTGCTGCTGTGGTTGTTGTTACTGATATGTTCCTTGCTGTTGTTGTTGTTGTTGTTGTTGTTGTTGTTGTTGTTGTTGTTGTTGTTGTTGTTGTTGTTGTTCTTGTATTTGTACTGATGTTTTTCTGGCTGTGGCTGTAGTGGTTCTTGCAGATATCTTTCTTGTTGTGTATGTTGTTGTTTTTGTTGTTGATGTTGTTGCTGATATTGTTGATATTTGTTGTTGTTGTTGCTGTCGCTGTTGATATTGTTGTTGTTGTTGTTTTTATTGTTGTTGGGATTATGGTATCTATTGTTGTTGTTCTTGTGGTTGTTGCTGATATTTTCTCACTGTGTTTGTTGTTGTTGCTACTGCTGCTGTTGCTGCTGTTGCTGCTGTTGCTGCTGTTGCTGCTGTTGCTGCTGTTGCTGTTGTTGTTGTTGTTGTTGTATATGTTGCTGCTATCTTTCTTGCTGTTGCTGCTGCAGGTGTGGCATGATAATCAGACGCCTCGCCATTGCATGCAGATGTCGTGAGTTCGATTCCTTAATTGGGAAGGTGGTTTAAAAAAGATCTTAATCGAGTATCTATGTCAGTCTGCTGGTATGCTGTGTCCCGGGTTTATCCTGACAGGCAGGTTCGGTGCAGTCAGCCTCTTGTTGTATCTAAAATGTGTTGATTGGATCGTAAAAACATTTACGAACAAACAAACAAACAGACAAACAAAAACCCATCAGTTCAGTGGATTATACCAAAAACTCTATCTCGGTCTTAGAGTATCTTTATCTTAAATCTTGTTCTTAAATCTTCCTCCACTGAAGGCATTCCCATTTATGGGTGAGAAAAAAATCGTTACATTGTTTTTGCCGATCATCAAGAGAAAATATTGGACAACGAAAAGCCCGCTTTGGAAGTATTCTTTTTTTAACACTGAAGAGATCCCTTGTTGAGAAGAGAAAGAAAGACACATTCGAGATAATTAATGGTCTTTTATATTCTTATTCTACAAAAGCCAGAGGGATAATTGGCACAGGCGGTCTAAATGTCTTTTTAAGGAATGGAAATTACAGTGTGTGTCCTCTTTTGCTCAGTTATGGAAAAAGTCAGTATGTCATTATTTTAGCCCAGTTAGTTTCATGCTGGCCTATATGTTGATGTCCCAAGTTCGATTACCGAATGGAGCGTTCACAAATTGGGTTGTAATGGAAGTTTTCCTGGCTCTCCACCCTCTTGGCCGGCCCCCTTTACAAATGGACGTTAAATTGGTAAGTGTGTATGTGTTGTATTCACAACGTGAAAATATGGGGGGAAAGTTAAGTCTCACTACGAACGGCTTTTGCATAGCAACTGCTTTGACATTAGATTCTATACATGTATACCGGAGTACAAGAGAATTGTACTTATGATTAGTACATAAACTGAATTCATGAAAAGTGTCCTGCCTGCAACTGTGAATACATCGCCCATACTCTGCGTCTCACTTGCCACATAATTAATGTTCACTCTGTTCTTTTCCCCCGACAGACCACTTCGCTACAAACTAGCCATTCCACATGACGCAGGCACTGTGTTGCTACTGCATTTTTGTGAGGCATCGTCGTGATATCAGGTGCTCGTTTGATAGTTAAATCGGAGAATCAAGCATTTTCCCCTCCGTTTGACAATTTTTTTATCGATTGTTTATCTCTTCGGTTCAACACCTGTTACATCCTTTTAAAACACATTTCTGTGTGGATTTCACTAGGGGAGAAAAGTTGACTAAAGGCACCGAAAAAAGCAAAATTTTCAGTTTCCAAGGACCCTCAAGCTATGGAAGTCACCAAACTTTAGCGGCCATTTTTTCGATAATTCTACGTCCGAAATCATATTCAAGATAGATGCCCATTTTTTTCACCAAAAGCAAGACAAACGAACAGACTTTTAAGATAATACTAATAACTCTACATACCCAAAAACTGACTAGCGCCCAATTCCACCGGGTCGTGACACATTTTTCTTTCAGTTCAGAACAGGGTACTGTATTAGGCGATACATTATTGAGCTTCCGTACCTTCTTGGAAAAAGCAAATAAAAAAATTAGGGTAATTTCAGCCTCGCCCCGGGAATCGAAAAGTTAATGTCGTCTTTGTTGGTATAAGAATTGGCTCCTTCCTGCCAGTGACGTTGTTCGGTGTATCTCGCTAGAAAGGTGAGAAAAGCTAGTCTGAATAATGTATTAGCTGATCTTATTGTGCAAATGAGAAAGTAAGCAGGCGTACTGAATGGCGCCACTGGTGCGCCCTACTTCTTTTCCAACCGTTACTTAAATTCGGTATATCTGTAAGTCTGTTTTCCCAGTACTGTTGTGCAGTTAATTAACATTCCGGGTGAGCGAGCATTTGACAGAGAAACAAAAGAGTGATGTATTGTAATTGTTAAATGTCCTCATCGATACAACCAACTTAGGCCAAAGAGAGGGCGGGTTGCCTGTCAGAGTAAGTGCTCGGTAAGTGGGATGGAAACAGCAACACAACACACAGGCGGATACACTCGATATAATTAACTTCCCCACTCGGGAGTCAAAATCAAATCTCCCGCGTGCTACAGCAAAGAGCCCGACCATCCCACCACTCACTGCCAGCCAAGAGAAGAAAAGCTCGTCAGGACGTGGGCGCTGGGTAGAGGAATTATCTGTTTGTTCTAGTAAGGTTTTTGGGCGCTCGCAACTGCATAAGGTCATGATCATACGAGCGCCAAGGGGTGGATGTGAACAGAGAAGTCCAAACGGGGAATTAGGCTTACTCTGTGCACCTCTCTAGCCTCAACAGCACAAAATCTGCTTCGACTATCAAGGCACCCCGGAAATAGTGGGTCACAAGAGTGTGACAAACATACGAAAGTAGTAGAGGATTAAATGACGATAGTAAGGATATGTAAAGAAAAAGCAGCAGTTCCCCCTATATTATTGTTTCGGCACAGTATGAGCATGACATTGATAAACCTGCCCATTTACAATTCTACTGTGCATCAGAACATGTTAATATCCCCCCTTGGGGAATGGCCTAAAGACGCTTCAGTCAGAAGCACTGTCCTTGGGGAAAAGGGGGGGGGGGAGGAGGAAATATTTGATATATTTGATATATTTGTTTGCTGAAAAAAATTCAGACACGCTCTCACAGAAAATCTTTGTATTTGCTTCAGATGAGCTTCATACTTTGTAAAAGATTTTTAAAATCTTCTTTTTATTAAAGAATTTCGGGTTATTTTGTCTCTTACCAAGACACGTATGTTTATCCAACTGATCAACACATTATTGAGTGGTAGCCGAAAGAACCCCTCTGGGACCATGTTGAGAAATAATGTGAGGTCAAAATTCTAATTACTTTACTGCTGATTGACGATTGTTACCTGTGTTTGTCTGCCTGTCTCTCTTTGGCTCTCTACCTTTGTGTTTCTTCTCTCTACTTTATCTCCCTCTCTCTCTCTCTCTCTCTCTCTCTCTCTCTCTCTCT